GGAAATAACTGCATTTTTATTGTGAGGAAACAATGAAAGCTGAGTCAAAGTCTGAACAGTTGGTGACCCGTACCAGCCCGGCATCCTTTGACAGCATGCGGCCAGCGGTTAAATCAGATTTTGTCAATGAGAGTTGTCGGCTTAAGTCCTAACATATCTGCTGCTGTAGAAGCCAAGCAGGGAACTCTTGGCTGTAAATTAGCTCACAGATGCTGGAGCCATATGCTTAATCTGATTGTAGGGAGAATCCAACACTGGCTTCACTTGAGATTATCAATGGATGGGATTAAAGGTGAAGAAGTAAATCTTGTCTTACTGAATCACTCACTGTGAGTCACTGAAAAACAAGACAAATCACACACGTACTTCAGAAAAGTATTTCTGAGATGTCTTAATAACGTGTTTGTGTATCTGCATTGTGTTAATGTGACAAACAAGTCAAAATAAGTGAATAGTACTGCGTAGAAAACCTAATACAAAGCTATTCTCTGACAACTGGATGAACCCTGAAAATATACATTAGTATGACATTGGTAGACTTTACAACCTTAAGGACACCGTTTGTTGACCCTTTGACCTTTTGCATGTAACATTATGGAAATGGGTGTAATATAGCATGATACAATGTCTTCAGAGAGGCAGTCTAGCTGAGATTTGTAATAGAACCGACCCCAACAAGTTCCCAAATTTGGCTGAAAAAGAAATGTGTATGGGACAGGGATTAAAATTACAGATGCCTGCCTTCGAAGCTCATATAGAGCTTACATCAACAGATGGATTAGAAACAATGTTGGTACTGTGGTGTAGGTACAGAAGAAGCTTTCAGCTATGGCATTTCAGTTCAGGTGACTACTGAGAGCTGTAAATACGATGCTATTTCAGCTGTGAGCGCCAACTGCTTTCACAGTTTCTGTGCGTATAAACGACACTGGCATGTTTCTGTCTGCAACACTGTACAAAATGAGAACCTTGATGTTGACGGTGTGCTGGGGGATGGTTAGCATTGTTCTGCCACACTCAGTCCATGTATTCATTCATAAAGT